GCAGAGGCCTATTTCTAGCAGAGTAAGTTCTTTAAATATCAGCAGACACTGAGATTAATATTTCTAACTGATAGAGCATTAAAATAAATGTATCAATTACAACTGCAACGAATTTGCTGAAATATCAGGAAAACGACAAGCGTTTTCTGTAGTAGAGACATTGATATTTTATTGAGGAGAAAGAACCTGCATAAATTCATTATACTGATTTAACTTTTATCATCAGCACGGTTGTCTTCTTGTACTGTGTGTGACCGCTGTTGGAAGCAATACTAGCTGTGATTATATGCTTAGCGCCAGATTGCAGATGCTCTCTGCTGTCGTGTTCCTCTCAAAGAGCCTGGGGAGGCATGTGCCTGCTCACTGAGCTCTGGGCCCTGGCTGTGACACACCATCCCAGCTCATTCTGCAAATCTTCAATGGGGCTCTATGCTGGTGAGTAGGACACCTGTGGCATCACTGTCAAATTTTCAACCTGCAAATAAGAATTTGTCGGATGAGGACATACAGTACGTTGTCCTGCTGGAATGTTGTCACATCAGGAAGAGCCTTGATCAATGTATCGCAAAGCAGAGTTCTGTAGCAAAATATATTCTTTTGTCCAAAACACTTGGAACTCCCCATTGAATAGTCTGTTTATATTAGTGAATCTATCTGCATGTGTGTCATCATGATAGTCTACACAAAACCTTGATTCATCACTTACAACGGACTTGAATCCACCACCGCCAAGACCACCTGAGTTGCCCCTCCAACATACTGTTGACACGAAGGTGTTGTTCTTTTGATAAACGGGGCATATTAGTTCCAGTAATTTTTCTTGATTTTCACTAGGCTTGACATTTATCAGGCTAAATTACCTCATCTCCTGTGCCCAATCAACTCTGTGCTTGTGCAAAAGTCAACATCCCTAGAGTGTATCCTTGTCTATCATGGATGATCAATGGATCAAAATAATCAAAACATTTAATCAGTTTCCAAAATCCATATACTTTATTTCTCTAAAAACACAAATGCATAAATACAGTGATATGTTTCTTATGATGCTCTAGTAAAATTTAAGCCCTCACCTTGGCCCCCTTAACATTTTGAAATTGGGTTATCATTTGGGCTTTCTTTTAAATCACTTCTAATGACTTATTTAGAAGGAACCGAATTAGGGTGATGCATTTTCAATTTCATTGTGTCAAAGGAATTGTCTCATACTATGAAGGTTAAAAAATTCCCCAGGTTTGCAAACAAACCTTTCCAGACATTAAAATTGCAACAATTCAGCAGAACAGTTCGCTTCTGTATCAAGCTACCTGACTGCCCAGCAATTAATGTGTGCAAACCATTACCATAACAATAAAAGGATAAAAATTGAAAGGCATTTATAAGTGAACTTCACATGATTCAGAATTGCTTGGCATTTACTCTGGCATTTAGACTTATATATTTATTTCCTTTATGTTCATTTTAATAGTAAAACATTTTGTTACTTAATGCAAATGTGGTTGTTACATATAAAAGACATGACATTTTAAAATGGGAAATAAATTGATATAGTCCATTTCAATTGTAACTAGGTTTGGAATCCAGTGCATACTCTATCCAAAATTGCTCTGTGCCCAGCACTGTATTTAATTACAGACAGTAGAGTGTTACATGATAACAGCAAGATACCTTTCAGTTTTCAGTATGAAGCTTTGAAAGTTGAATTCTCCCTCCAGCTGCTAGACTTTTGGAAAAAGGCCTGTATAATTGAACAAAAAGTTGATTTTTTTGGATGGCCTCCCATTTTTTTTTTTGTAATGCAACTGTTCTGGTTCACAATGACTTCAGACCAGACACCACATAATGATATAGATCTCACACCCATTGTAACACACATTTAAACAAGACAAACCTGAAATCTAATTCTACCTCAAGGTACAGTTACACAAGTGTATCAGCCACATATATTTTTAACCTGTAATGCACTGTGTCATAAGGAATGTTAAATGCATTATCTGAAAAGATCTCTGGGGGCTTTTGGAGTGGCTCAACTGGTAAAGGCGTTCTCCTGAGCACGGTTTGGGCTCTCTGATCCAGGTGTCGTGGGCTTGAGCCTGGGACATGGCACCAGCCAGCTGTGAAGTGCCCATCCCAAGCTGCAGTGCAGGACTGGCTGGGCTTCATCAGGAGTAGGGGTAGGGTGGGGTTTATCGGCCGGGGCTGTCCCAGCTCTCAGAGACAGAGCGGCACCTCCAGGAGCCTCCCAGGCATGCAGCAGGGCGAGATGTGCCCCGCCCCCTGCTGGCACTGAACCTGCAGTACAGGGCTGTGCAGCCTGCCACACATTAGGAGACTAGTGGCTTGAAGGTGGGCGGGTCAGAGGAGTCTGACTGAGCTTCCTCCTTGCCTCCCGTGTGCGTTTATGGGGTTTGCACCTGAGAGCCGAGACACGAAAAACACATCACTGGCTAAGTCAGCTAGGCGGTTGTTGCAAAAATAATTGACATTCCATTTTTTTTTTAAAGTAACAATCTAGGAAACAGAAAGAAACTCGACATGCATTTAAATATATTTAATGTAGTATGTTTTCGAACATTCAGATGGCATGAAATCTATATCTGTGCATTACTTTTTACGCTCTGGCTCAAATTATTGAGCAACCTAGCCCCTGAAGCCTTGAGAATTGTAGAACAGACATACTAAGATATCCTTATAAACCTGAAAGGCAGACAGAGACTGATGTCTGGTGTGAAATTAGTACCTGAGGGGACTAAAGAAAATGTCTTATTAAAAACATTTCACCAGGGTAAATGGTAGCGGTTGTTTATTTTTAGCCATCAGTATAAAAGTGATTGAAAATGTGGAACGATTTGATCAGCTGTCTAATTCAAAAGTTGCTGTTTGGGTCAGAGCCCAGTGTCTTAATGTAAGTCAGAAATGAATTGTACAGTATGTGTGGCATTTGTTTTCACTAACTTATGGCTATGCTCATTGCAAGCAACCTTGTGCTAATCATTTGATTGAAACAGCACATCTGGATCTCAGGAGGTGTCTATTTATACATGACACAGACAGCAGAGTCTTTTTCTGGTGACATTCAGGCTCTTGTTTTAACTTGTTTAAACGTTGTGTTGTAAAAGCCATTCACAAGAGCAGAACGTACAGCGTTTTCTCACAAAGTGTCCTCAAAACATCATAGTATGCGGGTTGTACTATGTGTAATGCATACTTCATTCATAAGTTTTTTCTCCAATTAAAGATATTTTAAAATAAAAGTCTGGGAAGGTTCTTTTGGAATACAGTAGAAGAGCAGTTAGAAGTACTGTCAGGCAGATATTCAAAAACTTTCAGCTGCAATTTAGCAATAATCCCCACATATGTCTGTATTCTTACACTTGCTATGGTTGACATCACTCAAAACCTTTTGGCACTGTTTAACCTTTAGACACACTAGGGTGTTTTGGCAGCAGTGCCTTCTAGTTTTGTGCCAGTTGGCTTCTTGCATTATTGTGTTTATTAATAAATGTTAGTGTTCAACAGCTCTGAATTAGTTCTGTCAGTGCCTGCACACACAGTACAACACCAGACAACAGCTTTTTCACTGCAATTTTTGTGACCTTTCCTACTTCCTTTCCTCGAGCACAGTTGAAAACCTGCAAGGAAAATTGCATTCAGCACTTATCACATGGCAACATAAACACAACTTTCTTACATATTTGTACAGTGTTGAAATTCTGTTGTCATAATAAGACTCCTTCTTCAATGAAAAAAGTGCAGTTTCTTGGACAGCTTACAAAAAACAAACTATATGTTCTACCATCAAGTGATTATATAGGTTATGTCACATTTAAATGGAGAAATAATTAATTCGTTCCATTATATAAGGCTGCCATTATTGGCCTGTCGTTAACAGATATATTATTTCTTGTATTTGTAAAATACTTTCTGTCCCAAAAGAACCGAATGTGCTTTACATATAGGAGAAGACTCATTTCACCGTCTGCTGTTTTGCACCACCTACCTGGATAAGTTGGCAGCCATTATGCACTGATAGACCCATTTCAGATGAAGTGGAGAAGGGAGAAATTTAACTTATTTAATTAAAGAGGAAATTTAGGGAGGCCAGAATGAGCAAAACCCAAAATGGAATTAAGTCAGGACACCAGGAACACAATCCATACTCTTATGAACAGTGCCAGCTTGGCCAAACAGTCAGGACCTTCGATTGATGTCTCACCCTTGTGACAGGACCTCCTAGTGTCCAGTTCCCTGTCACCAAAGCAGAGCATTGGTTTTAGTCCAGAGGCAAGATCACCACTTGCTGGTCCACTCCACCAACACCACTGACAGCAGCAACTGGGCTTTTCTTGTCCTCCTAGTGCTCTTCGGGCTGCACCTTGACCAGGCTACAAGGTGATAGTGCAGCTAATGCAATCCAAAGTGAACTGTTGAGTCTTAAAAGAAATGCAATACACAAAAAGGGTTGATTATCCAATCTGTCAAACCTTTACAATAATAAAAACTTCCTCAAGTTTATAATGCACACAGTCTCTTATTTTCTCCTATTTACATGCGCTGACAAAACGTTTTAGCTTGATTAAGTTTACTGACAATGATATTGAATGTATGCATTATTTGACATCTCCATTGTTCCCAAAATTTACTGAAATCTTGTCTTGAAGAAAAAACTTGTGTTCCGTGTCAAGCTGCCACTTTTATTCAGTGTTCTGAATCAAAACGTTTTTGTCAGGCAAAAAATTAAGTCTTCTGGTGAATTAACTTATGTGGAATCACTTTTTTTTCTATTCTGTGAGCGTTGATATCGTTTTCATTCAGTTTACATCCGGCGGTATATAGCCTAATAGATTAGGAGATTCCTCAAAGCCTAGAGATTTTAACCACAACATAATCTTTACGAGCTTTAGGGGATTTGCGAGAAATGGTTAAAAATGGTTAAATTTGCGTCATAGCGTGCGTCTACTTTCACAGTGACGTAACCCCACATGACTGTAGAGTGGATTTCCCCGCGACAGCAGGACGTCCTTTCGGCATAGAGGAATTGCGTTAATAGAGAGTGCACCTGGGAGACAGCGATCGAATCCCAGGTAGAAACGAGCCAATGACTGTGCAAATAGGGTTGTCATTCACATGCGTTGTCTAATTAAAACTGCAGCGAATGCTCTATCAAAATGTATGTCTCATGGTGGCAATCCCGATGAAAAACGCACTTTTAATAAAAGTTTTACTGGTGTATAATAAGAGCCGAAGTGCTCTGAGTATTGAGAAGGCGCTATGTAATATTAGCAGTTATTTAAGGTCGATTACCGCTTTAACTTAGGTTGCTGGAAAAAAAAGTCGTTTTAAATAGCCAGTATGACTATTTTAGAGTAAAAAGCGTTGTGACTACTACTGTATTCCCATGATACAGAATTCGTCAGAACGCACGTACTTTGAAAACTACAGTCATCCGGTCCAATATTTATCGACGTAACAGATCATTAAAACGTATGACTCACACCAACCAGTAATAGTCATAGAGGAAATTTTAACACTAAAGTTGTCTTCGTGTCTGTTAAGAAGACCGAGTCGGCACGTGTTTGCGATAGGAATGCTACAGGCGGTCCGGTACCAAGGCTAAGTTTTGAGATGAACGCTTACTAGGTTTGGAAATGCATCTCTGGACTCAAGATAGGAGGAAAAGGTCATATAACACATTTCCTGTTGCTAGGTAACACTGCCTTTTAACCAATTTTATCGTGCAACTGGAAGGGTTGTTATTATTATTTTTTTAAAGATAGGTTGTCGTGCTTCCTTGGCAGTTCCCATCCATCTCAAAGTCTGGTTTGGACGCATGCTTGTAACGCCAAGTGATCTCCGTATTGAAATCTCGCACTTGTTCAACAGTAGGGTGCACAGTTTATACTGATTTTTTATGCTCCAATTTATTTTTTTTAACAATGATTGGAAAATGCTAGCGTATCTGAATATAGTGCTTTCTAATTAAAAATTGGCCTTTTTGTACCGTTTTGCTGGCACGTGAAGTTTTCCGGTATTTTTGATTCTGAACTTTTCCACCGCTTGAAAAAAAAAAGGTTAATGCTATCACTTCTTTTTCAGAAAAATGGTATTGTTACTATTTGCTGTAAGTGAGCTGTGGCCACTACATATTTCCAACTATATTTATATTCTGCTGTATTTCAGTGGCTCCACATTAAACATAGAATTGCATTTCTGCTTCTGCCTGTTATGATCTGTTAGACTTTATAAGATATTGATGAGAGAATACAATCATTTTGAGGCACTTTTCAGTATTTTGAGAAATATTTGTTATGTATATGTGTAGTTCTGCACACCAGCCTTAGAGGAAACAGCACAAAGTGTACTTTGTCTTCTCAAATTTTTACAGCTAGTTGTTTATTGTGCTTAACGTTGTTAGCTTGCCTAAACATTATAATCAAATATAGACAGAGCTACAATATTTAGAAAACACTTTTCACACCTCCTTATTAAGCAAGATGATCAAAATTATGACTCATCACTATACCATTGTTTTTGCTTGTTTTCTGCTGTTGTTTGAATAGTCATAGACAGCTGGTATTAATACAATAGGCTGAGCCTGGGGAATTAATGGTTGATTTATAATATGCTACAAAGGTATCTGTCATCTGGAACAGTTAATGCAGTGATATATAACGCACGTATTTGGGGTGCTACAGTGTGGCGTCTTTGGGCACAAAGGCTTATGTTTAAGGTAATAGAAATTATTTTTAACAATAGTAAGGAAGTCTGCCAAAAAGATTGCTTTTTATTTTGCTTATGATCCTGACAGGATTTAAACTACACGAAGCTGGGATATATGTGCTCCTTCTCTCTTTGTTCCTATCAAAACAACACTAAAGCACTTATGCTCCAGGGAGATTTGTATAGAATCTGACGCTTGTATCAGCTCTGAAAAAAAACAACAAAATTACAGTCTGAGGTGATGCAAATGATATCCTTGGTGCATCTTCCCAATGCTCCTGTGAGGATCCTGACAGCTGATGCCTGGATTAAACAAAAAGACCAGTAACTTATGACTAATAGCTCAAAGCAATCATCTCTCATTATTTCAATTACATGGGTAAATGCATGCAATCATGTATCAAATCACTTCTCCCGTTTGAAGAGGTTCTTTTCAGCACAGGATTTCTGCCAGGGAAAAAAAAGTGCAAATATTTACATTGGTCTTTCATCAAACTGCACCTTTGTTTGCTAAAAAATAACCTCATGGCCACAGTTTGGAGCAGTGTTTTGGAGGGGGGGGGGGAGCGAAAAACAATAAAAGTGATTCTTTTGGTCAGTGATTAATCTGAAGATGAGACGGGTTCGCTACCTGAGTTTTCAGACTCCTGCTATCTCAGTTGTCAGAATGGTAATGGCAGCTCTTCCCCCAAATAACGGTACCTGCAAATCGAGCTCTACTGGCCAATTCAGGGCTCTTTAGGCACCTATGATTGATGACTCCATGACTAGGAGAAAATTGCCTGCAATGAATAATTCATCAAGCTATCTATTTGCTGTTAAAGTAGCTGACAGGAAAGTTCTGACACTGTCTGGGCACAATCCACTTAGAAATCACTTGCAAGTAAGGAAATATTAAAAATAGCTTAGTTGCAGCATAGTAGCACAGTATCAGGTTAGGGCTTTTTGCTGTCTGAGATTAAACATTGCAGAAAACATGATCATTTCTTCCTATCTTTTGTATTACCAGCAGAAAATGTTCTGATCAGATAAAGAAGCAGTGCCATTTCTATTGACTCGCTTTGCAGCTGTACGATGTTCTAGTGCAACAGAGGCTACTAAATTTCATGTACATGAGCATATGTATATGCTGTCACAGACACTATCATTTGTATGCTGAAATACAAATTTAGAGATGGGTTTGCACTGTTTAGGATTTGCATGATAATAAAATCTTAATTGCCACTCTGGTTAAGTAACACAATTGTGGCATTTTATTATGAACCATGGCTTGTGTGTGTGTTTTTTTTTAAACATCCGAATGGGCTAAATGTTACTAAATACATCTAATTTAACTGCACTGAATGAGGGAATAATAAGACGGAATACTCCACTGGCAAAGGCAATAGCACGAAAAACCTCCAGTGCACCAGGATTTGTAGGTATCTGGGGGCAGACATTTTCTGTAACCTTGCCTGTAGAGCAGAGCTTTTACAGAGCTAGTCTGGAAGGAGCTTATTACAAACAGATGACACTTATCGGTGAACATCTCAGACATTGCCCTAGACCTTACCCCACTGCCCTTAGAATAATCCATATCCATGTAACCATCTGTATTTTCACTGTCTTTTACTGCAGACAGATAAAAATATTGATCTGTAGATTGTCAGGTTTTGTAAAATGTTTAATGTGTTTGATCAACAGGCATGACAGAAATATGGATCTGACAGAGTATTTTTCATTTCTTAAAATACATATTACTTGCTTTTCAAAGTTGACAACATTCCAAATGTTTTGATATCTGTCAGTGTCTTCCAAGACTTTTGTATCTTTATTTGTTAACCTGTCCCTGGTAATTTCGTTTATTTTTCCGAAATATTCTTTCATACATTCCAGACAGTTTTTCAGTAAATTAATTGAATTGTGTTAATGGAGCTATTCTTTAGTTTAGGCAAAATAATTAACAAAACAATAATTAAAAAATGATAGTAAAACAATTAACAAAACTGTCATGAATAAATGCTTTTCACAAGTGAATGTGAGAATGATTTGAAATTGAAGCTACTCTGCTGAACGTCTATGGAGTGATCAGAATCCACCATTACTTTTGTTTGATAGACAAATTATATTTTACCTATTTAAAAATACTAATCTACTACTAATAATTTAATAAAATAATGACGCTAATAGCCAGCCATGACAAAGTCAATATCTTCAAATGACTGTAGCGTGATACATACGTCTTTGTTTGAAACAAAAAAGAATGAAAGAGGTTCCACAGTTCTCAAAAGTAGCACAAGACAAAGTGAATCTATTTTCTATTGACTTTGTGACACAGCCAGGGTCTTTTGTAACTGAATTCTTCCTTCCAGTGTCGATGTCCTACAGACAGAATTTTTAGCCAGAACAAATTCAAGTGCAGCTCTCAGATCAGTCGAACCCAAGAGACAGGCACAAGGGTAGGCCTACCTCAATTGCTCTTCCCCTTGCATTAGCCTTTCCTGCTCAGGCTCCATCGACCTGTCAGAGACATCACTGTGATTGACTGCCCTGGCAGATGTGCTGCTATAACAGGTAACCTGATCATCCAGACCCATCTGTCTCTCAGCCCTCCTCAATTCACACTTTGAAAAATATTAGAGATTGGGAGGAGCTGTATTCTTTGTTAGGAGGGGAAATTATATATATATACTGTATATATTATATATAGTATCTTTGCAATTTGCAAAAGATTGCCAAGATAAATAGATACCGATAAAGGGATATGCATTTTAATTTTGAAGGATGATCCATAGATTAGCGGCTTTATTATAGTTGTCAAGTGGGGTGTTTAAAAACAATATTTTTTCGCTTTAAGTACAATAGGAAGTCTTTCACATTCATTGTGCTTTCAGTATGCCATGCTATTTAATGAATGCATTTTTTTTTAAGGAAAAGCAATTAGAGAAGCGTGTGAATATATTAAAATTAGTATGAAGGCTTCACAGACAGATGGACTGTTTAATTGTGTGCAGCAAGAGGAGGCTGTCGTGTTCTGGTGGGGAGGGAGCGTTTTTGTTTGTCCTGTTCAGTGCCCACAGCCTGGCAAATGTTGTGACATCATTGAGCTGAATTACCGATTGCACTTGTTCTGCAATGAGGAGCTCCAACAAGAACAGGCAGAGCGAGCCTCTCAGCACTCTGAAACGCTGTTAGCTAATTTACTACTGTCACTGTTTTTGATAATGACTTCCCACCAAAATATTTTGCCGAGATTGTGTACGAAGAGTTTTCCTTCTCTAAATCAACACCCCTAGTATGTTGCCTTGCAAAATCTATCAACAGCCTCCAGTCAAGGGAGCATTTCATCTCGTAGAGAGAGAAGTATATAACACTCTCCCAGCCTGGGTGTCACCAAGACCTTCTGCGGAATCATTCTCAGAAGAATGCACATTGGCAATAAATGTATGGTTCACAGTCACTGAGTTAAAAACAACACGCTGAGTGCAGGCAGGGATATAGAGGGGGAAAAAAATAAGTGAGAATCCAGCAAAACAAATGTCAGCTGACACCCAGGCGAGGGACTAGCTATATGTTCTTCAAGGCAATCGATTTTTCTTTCTCCAAAACATACTCAATCTGTTTCCCAAGCAATGTTACATAAAAAGCTGGAGATGTACAAACAGCTTTGCCTGTAGCAACAGTGCTGTTTTTCAGCTAGAGCAAGGTTAGCCTACAAGCTTGTTTCTCGTGCAGTTTTTTTTGCTGTTGCTTTTTCATTGTGGATATGTAGGAAATATGAAAAGATAATGACAATGCTGTTTGGGGTCTGTGCCTTGTATTTTCTTTTGGCATTCGGTTGATTTGAGAAATGATCCATGTGACAACTGTAACTGTAGCAATAAAATCAGATTTATGTTTATAATTTAAGCCAGGTATGTAGATTTTTAACACAACATCGATAACATTACAGAATCCGCTGTGTTTATCTGGTTACTTTAGAAGTCATCGGAAAATGTCTTAATATTTTCCAGTAACTATTAATATCCTGTGATTTTTTTTCTTCTGAAGTGCACATTATGCAAGATTTTAAAGATGGATTTCTGCATTTGTATGCACTATGCATCTTGCAAAACTGCATCATTACAAAAAGTGTTAATGAGATTGTTTTAGTGTGGTGGAGGGTAGTGCGAAGTTTGTACGGAGATGACAGCAGTTAAGACTATTGCATGAAGAACCAGCAGTGAAGCACCTTTGCACCTTGGCTGTTAGTGTTGATCGAAGCACATCTCTGATCCTGAAGATAGCAATTACACAGCAAAAAATAGCATTGACTGTGGTTAAAATAGTGCCTTAAATGACAACACACATACTGTATATAACATACAGTATATAGGCTCTCCACTTCAGAAATGGCTTTTATTGCTATGAGGTTTATGTGTGCCCAATTTCATAGTACAACAAACTACATTGAAAGAGAATAAAGCTATTAAAAACTGAAGAGCCATAGAATTGTTTGCCCTTTGTTTTCATAGATACAGTACAGAGATGAATCACCGATGCCTGCTGTTCTTCACATTTAAAAAAGTAAGACACTTTTAAATACTTTGACCATGCCATGCATAATGACAGTAGATATATCACAATGTTCCAGGAATAAAAGAATATTTAAAAGCTTTATCAGTCTATAGTACACACACACATAGTGCATATTCTTGCTAGAAAGGGCATATCTTATTTAATTAGCAGTAAACATAAGTGTTACTTGTTTAAAAATACCAATATGCTCCAAGTAAACTCTCACTAAGCAAAATGAAACTGACCTGCGTTTTGTGTTCACAGAGGCCGTGAAACGACTGACTCCTGTGAAAGTGTATATGATTCTTTCTTCCGTTACTGTCTAAGTAACCTGTTGTGTTGTGGGGTGTGTTTTTTTCACACCGGAGTGAATTAGTGATGGCAAGCACTCCATCTGCTGGTGCAGAGTGCACACAGCAGACAGCCAGGGTTAGAGCCCCAGGACAAGTCTGTATCCCAGCCTCAGCCACAAGATTCCATCTCCCTGCTTCACGGCTTCTGGGGCTGTTCACCCCTCCCAGCAGAAACCAGTTCGAGATTGACGTCTCCTTTTTTGTTCTTGTTCACTTATTAATGTGTGCCTGCATCTCCCACATGTGAACAGCAGTTTGCAAAAGCCAGGAGCTCATGTCACGCTTGCAGGCTAGTGCAGGGGAAGCCTTTAATGAGAGAGACGGAGCTTGTCATTATGTAATCTTCTGAAACCAGAATAATGGTTACATGTTTGCTTATGAATGTTTGCATGTTGGAGGTAACATATGCTGTTCGATGCCCTAGAATCTTACTGTAGAGCAAGATTCTGGCATTTAGTCTAGATATTTAATTATAAAAACAAAACTGCTTTGGGTTAAAAGGTTCTGTAGTTTAATAAATCACTTGTGGATAATGGAACTAAAGATGTCAGTCAGTTTGTGTTAAGTCAGGCAATTGCAGTAAAGGATATAATAGCCCCTTTAGCTAAGAAATACTTGGTAAGGTTCCAGAATCTGCAGAGGCTATGAATTCGCATTTAATAATACTTAAGACGTTAGTGTTTATTTTTTCTCCTCTGTCTGACATGATCTCGCATTTCCCAGTTGCTGCTCTTTTTTTATGTTCAATGTAAAGTTTTTCAGCTGTGGCATTTTGTAGCACTGCAGCATCTGCGACTGTATGTATTACCTGTGACTATGAATGGAAACATGCTCTGTGACCAGCACCTTCTCGGGACTGGGTCCACTGTTTATAGTCAACAGAGCTGAAGTGGAGGCCTATGGCTCCAGGTTTTTAAGTGGGAGCAAAGTGAATATAATGCATCATTAAGTGGACAAGTGCAACTGTCACAGAGCGCACCGCATACTTTCTGCAAACAGCTAGAAACTGGTTGCATTGCAGGAATTGCATGAGTTTTACGGCCAGTGCACACCCAGTTTAAGACTCAAGGATAGTTGGGACCGTTGATTCAGTTGAACAAACCTAGAAGCAGAACAACCTCCACAAATGAACCTTTCTTTTTATTTTTACATCTTCTCCTGTACTGTTGCGCCCATATTTAAAAAAAAATGATAAATTTATGTTCCCATATGTTAGCATGACTTCTTTTCAGATAGTTGTGCTGAAGAATGAGCATTAACTTAGAAATTTTAATTCTGTGAACTAAGACCAGTCACATCCTGGAGATAAGGAATTCAGCAGATCTGTCTGGGTGTTTTTGAGAGGTAGGTGGATGTAATGAAGTTTTTTTTCACAGGTCTCCTGAAAGAACCCCCTATGCGAGTTGACAGATTGCTACAGCCTGCAGAAGCAGCTAGAAACCTGTGCATTTGAAAAACAAACTTAAGGAACAGATACAGATTTTGAATTTCAAATTAGGAAAAAGATTTTGATAGCCGTTAGGTGTGCGTTGACTTTAAAAATTTGGTTAACCTTTGAAGAAACTTCAAATGAAAAACATGTTTTTGTGTGCATGTATTTAGAATAACCTTTCTTTTCATATAGTTTAGAATATAGGAATGTCTTTCCTGAACCCTGTTCCATGCGATTGAACTCCTGTAGATTCAGTAAGACCATTGAACGTGATGGGGTTTATTTTATGTACTGATTTAAATCCTGTCATTTAAAGGGGGCCATAAATCGAAACAATTCCAATGCAAGACATTTCTAATGGAGTTTTTGTTGTTGACCCGTTGAAAGGGGGCGGCAAGTGGGGCACTTTGCAGTGTAATCCACGCAGGACAACGAGGTTAATACTCTTCCTTTCATCCTTGGGGAGCACTGGGACATGTTGCTGAAGGACCTGTCAGGGCAAAGGTGTGGAGAGTTGTGTGGCCAATTAGGTCTCGTTGAGCTTTATAGCCAACCGCATAATAGGAGAGACGGTTTCTGGTGCTGCACACAGATTGTCAGCTTGTGCGCTTCAAAGAGGAGATAAATGTTGAGGGATTAACCGGTTTCAAAGTACTTCACTTCCACACATCGTCAAAAACAATTGAAATATCACTCACTGAATATTATGTGTGCAGAGCCGCAACATTTATAAGAAGCGACCACTGGGAAGGCTAATCAGGATGCTGAGGAGACTCCAGTTTAGGCTTTTTTTTTCCCAAAGACACCAGGAGGAGTACATGTGTACATACAAGAGTCCTCTTTACCCGCATGGCTTGAGGAATTCATCCAAGACGTCTGCTTTAGTGTGAAAAAGAAGACACTTAGGACTAAGTGTAAATAGTCATAATTTATTTACCGTGACATCTCTTAAACATGAGTGAGTGAATGTTTTAAATACCAGCTCTTAGCTCTCGCCAAGGTCAATCACTTCCCTTTGGTCTCAGGCCTTTCCCAGCCTTGCATAACTGAGTAGTTGTGGTTTTGCAGACATGGATGCACATTAACAGTTAAATTCTTATTTCATATTTCGGCAACAATTATGACATTGCCGTGCATTTCCTAACTGACTGCTTAGCTGGAATAATTGCTATCCTTTACCTCCATAAACACTTGAAAATGTCAACCGCATTGCTGAAACCTAAGCAATTTTATAGATGATTTAGACAGCTGAAGAGCCGCAGCAAGGGAAAGTTTTAGGAGTAAAAGGAAGAGAGAGAGAGAGGGAGAGAAACCAGCAGGTGTATGAGATGGGCAAAGGAAATTCAAATTCCGCACAGAGAGAAGTTCAAAGAGTCATCCCAGGGGCCTGAAATCCGTTCTCTTTAAGAAATAAAAATATTTCTGCTCTCGATTACTGGAGCCAAGCACACTTAGGACCATGTTTGTCTATGTATGTTTACAACAGCTGTCATAAGAGTCACAAGAAACAAGAAGAGTAATGTAAAGGTATCCCTCCCTTTTGCTGAATATTTAATGTGGGCTGCAAGAAAGAAAGCACAAACATTCTTCTTCTCCAGTGCTTGCCTTTCTTGCCCTCTTCAACTCTCTCAGGGGACGGATGGGTTTCTCTGCCGGTCACTACCAGTGCCCATTTACTGCTTGATCTGTGCTCTTTACTCTTGGCTTTCTTCCTGTCTCCTGAAACGAAATTTGCTTCATTTTAGCCACCTCAAAGCAGACTTGTGTGTATATATTTTCAAGGAAATTTGATTGTCGGTATGGATTTTTAAATCAGTTTTCAGATCAGGTTTAGAAATATGTAAACTGTTGTGTTATTTCATCAGGCAGCAGTGGAACACATACCTCAGATGCTGAACATCCAATACTATAAAGCGATCTTTGAATGAGACGACTAGGGTATAAGTAGATTAAAGTGGCCATAATGGGAAAACAAGTACCCATTTCAAGTGCAATTGGAAGAAATTTAAGACAAGGAAAGTTGCATTATAAATTTATTATCAAATTGAGGGTATTTTCACACTCATTGTGGCCTGAAATATGAACCTATATTTTCTGTCTTTGGTTTCCTTTCTTGAAGTTTCCTTAATGTGCAGAAGATGTAATACTTTAGCTCAGATTACTGTTGTAGGTTTGTAAGCCAATGTCTAAAAAGTTCAGATTTAATTTGAATCGACCAATGTGCATTAAAACCACTGTTCTTTGATACAAAATCATATCTGACCTTAAAGTGAATGTAACAAAACCTACAGATTCTACAACATCCTGCTATTTTCTGTCTCTGTAATCCAGTTGACAACGCTAGCCATCAGCTGCAAAACAGTTTTTTTCATTTATCACAACAGCATAAGCTACCTTTAGGAGATGGAAAAGAGCCTACCAATGCAGGCTTCAATTATGCATGAAGATTCTATATCAGGTCTCATATACCCTGACAGAGGAGCACTGATTGCAGGAGAATGTAAGGCTGTGCTCTTAGTGCTCTGACAGTTGCTCTACTGTATTCCTGTTTTTTTCTTTTACCTTATTTGTGTATTATATATGTCATACACTGTATATAATGTAACAGTTGTCACAGTATTCTGATTCTCAATCATATTTTCTCACAGCAAAAGCTGCAGTATGTTTTAAACCTTAAAAAAAATAGCGCCTAGGGACTAGCACGCTTACAAAATACCAAAGAAAGTACTCCAGAGGTTTTTGTAGTTTCAGAAATAAAAGCCTGTGCCAAAGTGTTATTATAAGCATGTTATGTACACCGTTGAATATCTGTTAAGGTATTTACTTTTTGGTTAAATAATCAATAGATTTTTTTCAATAGATTCTTGTTATGTCATAGAAAACTGACCTTACTATTCATTGCATTTAATAAATGCAAGTTTGCCAGTTATTCCATCCAGTTGTTCAGTCTTAAATGTCATTTATAACCATAATCTATAGAATGGAGCACATTTCATATAGATATATGACTATATGAGAAGAAAACGGTTTCACGTTGAGATATTAAAATTTGATAGTACTACTGCAGTTTCTAATTCCGTACCAATGAGAATGTTTGGGATTAGCCAACTGCAAATAAGCTCTATCTGCACATCTAGGCAGTGGCTTAGTTTATGACGCCTCACTGCCACGCCAGTGATGTGAGCTCTCTTGAGCCATGCTTTTGAACTGAGGTGTTAACGGAGGCCTTAAACAGCTCATCCCCACCATTTACCATTTCTTAACATGGCAGTGTTGTCATGCAGTAAAATTGATCAATATTTTAAAATACACTTCTCTTCAAAGATCAATTATGATGCTTGCAACTGCTTTTAATTTTCATAATTTAACTCCCTCCCTTGCTGTACAGTCAATGTTTTGGTTTTTACTTCAATGGAATAAATGTGTTTGCTTTCAACAGATGTGACTTTGAGTGCACTGGAGAACACTTTATGCATTAAGCCGAGAATTCTAAATGAACATGCCCTTTAATGATTTACTCAGCCCAAGCAGACACTTAAAAACTGACACTGAAACCCAGAAAAATTACTTAAAGGATCAGTTACATCTAAAATGATGGAATCAATAACAATATTTTCCCTGGGACTCTATCTCACTGATAAGCAAAATCTTCCCTTAAAAGCCACATTAAAATTTAATAGCAACCAGTTTGCTTCAGCAATTGATAATTTCTGGACAGCTGTCCTCTAGTGTGTTGAAAACTTGTCTTCTTTACCATTTTAGTGTCATTTAACAATTGTTCTTTCTTCGGATACATGATCCCATTGGGTTGAATCCTACTCTTATAATACAGTAAAAGGCTTTTTTTGGAGAGGTCACAGGAAAACATCACACAAGTCTGAATCCCTTAATGCATCGGCAGTGTGTTTTCCATGAGTTTGCTTAGTGTCTTGGTTCTGCTAATCTGCTGATTGTTGCTTATCTTCATTGCTGTATTTTCTATGCATTCATATTTAAATAGTCCATTCTGTGAAAAAATGATTTTATTTTAATGCCATTGAATACAGATTGGTTCCATTTTTTCATCATACTTCTACAGTTTTAACAAGAGT